CCATATGTAGCATGTGAGTAAAATAGAACGATCTATATGCGAATTCAGGCGGTATTAAGGGTTTTGAAGTTTGGATTTGGAAGATTGGTTTTACATAATCCAATCTTCTTTCAAAGGTGTTTACGACGAATTTTCATAAAGAACTGCACCATCTACATGGTTTTGAAGACATCAAAGGAACTTGCCGGCGTAATAGAAGTTTGGTTATGTTAGGATATGTCAGGTTAGGTTGGGTTTCATTCGGTTAGCTGTTAATGGCAATTTAACACCTATGAAGGCTAAAATACCCACATAACCTACTGAAATGAATATAAAGTTCACAAAATAATAGCATCCCTTTGACGTATTTGACAACCTTGAAACTAATATCCGAGTCAAAATGGCATTTGCTCCAATAGTGCCAGAGGAAAAACGTGGCTAGAATTGTCCTATTTAGCTGAATAGTCCAAAAGTTAATCAAAATCGCATGATTAGCCTAAGTTCATAATTACCTTTAATTTTCTTGCCTTTCTTGTTGGGAGTATTTATCATCAAGCCTTGTTAAATCTCTTTGATAAGCGATTACTGGATCGATCTCGTTTTCTAGTATGGCTTTTCTTGCGACGTTTCAACATACTTGGAGTTTGAGGCTGTTTGTTATGTTGTGATTGAACTTCTTGAAATAAATATTTAATAGAAATAATGTATATTTAATGAAAAACACTGTGATGTGAACAAAAAATGTGTATTAAATTACTGGAAACTGTTTACAAAGTTAATAATGAATATAACATGTGATAATAACATCTGTTAAACAAAGTACAAGATAAGAATTGTATTTACAGACCAAGGGATAAAATAAATGCTTTAACATAACTCCCCCGCAAAAAAGGTATTAAATGGGAACTTTTAACAACTTGCTGATTGGTCTTTTTATTATTCCATTTTGAGTTTTCACTTCTACAACTCTTACAATATTGTCAAGTCCAGGAAATGTTTTCACCATTCGCCCCATGATGTACTTCATTGGTGGCATATTGTCTTCTTTGACTAAAACAACTTCACCTCCATTGATATTAGTGTCTTGGAATTTCCATTTGTGTCTCTGTTGAAGAGTATGAAGATACTACTTTTGCCATCTTGTCCAAAATGAATTCTTCATTCGTTGAATGAGCCTCCATCTCTTGTTGTAGTTGAAATGTCTAGCATCCAGCTTTTCCGGGATGAAAACTAGATTTTCACCAATTAGGAAGTGTGCAGGAGTTAAAATTTTAATTTCAGCTTGATCATCATACACTTCGCATAGGGGTCGAGAGTTTAAAATTGCTTCTATTTGAATGATTAATGTGTTTAGTTCTTCAAAAGATAATACTACAAAAGATCTCCAATGACACGTTTCAGATGAAATTTTTAAGGTTTGCCAGCTGATTCCAAGTCCTAACAGTTTGACTAAAGAGTCTTCTGATTGAAATTTAAAAATGGTTTGACTTAGTGTTATTTAATCTAGAACTTCTTTGGGGTTAGATGACCACTTGCGCAATGGAAACACTGCTTAATTTAGTGTTTGAACTAGTTCATTTTTTATGGATGATCTATAGTACTATATACTTGATCTATAGTATTGACTCCACTTACAAGATCGTCAACATAAAAGTCTTCTTTTAATATCCTAGCTGCATCAGGAGAATGATTCTTAATGTGGTCAGATAAATGATTTTCACAAATTCCATTATCTTGCAATTGAGAAGTGTGTTCATGACTGACCTCTTCTATCTTCCAAAAACGCTCTACTGCAGTGTTTATGTCACTGTTTTGTATAGATAATCTGAATGAATGAATACCTTTAATGATGGATCTGATAATCTTCCTGATAAAAGGTAACCTAGTTTGGAATTGATAGCGGATAAAGTGTTTTCTGGACCTCTAACTATACCATCTATCAAGAGATCTACGTAAATGTCAGCTCATAGAATGATATCTATTTGCCCTGATTGGTAGAAGTACGGATCAGCAAGTTCAAGGTTTTGAATGTAAAATGAATGATCAATGGATGTGTTGAGTAAGGAAACATTAGTTAGCTTGTTCAAGATGTATGTTGTAACTTGAATGTCTGTATCTTGCTTGTTTTAAATTAAAATTGATGTTAATCATCGTGTATAGCCAGCATGGCTGTTACCAACTCCGTGAACTGAAACGTTGAATGGTTGTCGTGATAATCCTAACTTGCGAAAACAGGTTTGAGAAATGAAGCTTCCCTCACTCCCAGGATCTATCAGAGCCTTACAGTATTGATACTGACCCCAGAAGTCTTTTACCATGACCCTGGCTGTGGACAGTATCACTGTTGTAGGAGAACCAATGCCTGCTGATAATAGTTTTGTACTATTACTACCTTTTGAATTCTTATTTTCTTCTGAGTTGCTGGAACATTTATTATTATATACATTTTTATTATATGAAGTTGTGTGAGCTAACATTAGGTTTGGGCTAAGCTTGAAATCCTGTTTCAAGTTTATGCTTAGAACTAACTTTAGGGTCTAATTCTGGCATATATTCTTTAGAAATTTGCCATAAAGTATTTTTGAGCTCTGGAGCAGACCTTTGTCTCTTTGTGTAGCCTGCTTGACTAAGAGTAATTGAACCAGCTTGTTCCTTCAAAATTTCAAGTCCCAAGAAGTGTGAAGCGTTCATGGTTTTGATCTTAAATTCCTTACCTACGGTTTGAAAAAAAAACATCAATCCCATTTGGTTCTTAAATTTTGATCTAATTTTGATGTTATCAAATTAACTAGTAATAAATAATACATCCCACTCCTCAGTCTTGTACCCAAGGTTGTTCAATGCCCTCACATTTGCATTGGTAATGTCTAATAAAGATTTCAAATATGTTAGTGAAATTACATTGGGCAGTGAAAACAAAGCTTTATGGTGAGTGTTGACAATTATTTTCTTGTTTCAATACCTCTCTTTTAAGAGTTCAATCGCACCTAAGTAGTTGGACTGAGTTAGGGGCAGAGTTGAAAGGAGATTTAAAGGTTCCCCTTTCAAACATGACTTTTGCACCAACACAACAAACCTTTGCACATCTGATAAACATTGATTTGCATGAATCGTTGATTGGAATATGTCGAAAAACCTAATTTTCATGTTTTCCGTCAAATAATTTTAAATTGAATTTAGGAAGTTTTAGAAAATTTGATTCGTGTACATTGATTCGTAACATGTGATAATAACATCATCTGTTAAACAAAGCACAAGAGAAAAATTTTATTTACAGACCAAGGGATAAAATTTAATGCTTTTCACAGAAGTTTTGGTCTAGATAAATAAATAAGTCCTAAAGGGGTAAATTAAATAAAAACTGTATAACTGCACAACAACTTAATACACAATAAAAACTATTTACAATTTTCCAACTATGTAAATGTTTTATTTTTGAAGATTTAGTAAATTCTTAAAGTCTAACAGCTGTTTCATTAAAAAGTAGAGTAAAATTATCCATTTGGTCGTAATGTAAAAAGATATGGGGGAGTAACTTTAAAGACCACTGGGGCAGAGCCCCAAGGAAATATACCTCGTGTCTCTTTTAATGGCTCATCTTCAGACCAAGACCATTCTTTAGACACATCTACCGAGTTTCTACGCCCAGCCGTTCTCTCAAATTAGCCGTGAAAAATCCCCGTTTGTTTCCATAAGAATACCATGGGATAAGAATTTTAAGGGCCACTAAAGCAGAGCCCCAAGGCAATTTACCTCGTGTCTCTTTTAATGGCTCATCTACAGACCAAGACCATTCTTTAGACACATCTACCGAGTTTCTACGCCCAGCCGTTCTCTAAAATTAGCTGTGACAAAGAAAAACTGTTTAAAATTAATATATAGATGTCTAGAAAAAAGGTTTTTCTAAAATATATATAAAAATACTATTTTATTTACATTGTTTAAAAACCATTTAACTGAGTGCATCTATTATATTATTAAAGTGATACAATCAAATTTTATGTAAACGGTTAAGGCTATTTACCAAATAAAAATATAGACATATGGTATATCAAAATGAAGCTTATAGTGTGTAGATTTGCCGAAAAGTATTGATATGGACGAACTTCCTAAGGGCTATGCCCCACAGGCTGATTTCCAAAAGGCTACGCCTTGCATGTTTTAGAAGTTATTATATGATTAATTTAGTGAACAACAGCTGGCCAATGCAATTGACAATATAGTTTGTTTGTTTACATTTTTGTTTACTTATTTTATTTTTTACTTTTATGTTCTTAAAAAAGGCGCGGTGAATGGACAGTGAAGCTATTTATAGCTGTTTGTTACAAGTGAGTAACTAAAGGTGTTAGAAACATGATGACTATGAGATTAAAAAACCATGTACGTTGTTCGTTCCAAGAGGTTGTCACCGATCTTTAACAGATCGCAATTTCTTTGAAAAGTATTAAAGTAAAGTATTAAAGATGTCGTGAAAGAGAGCTGCGTGTACAGGTACAACCTCGGGACGTAAAGTATGAAGGTTCCACTGCTTTTAACATCCTTTCAGATGACAATTTCTCGAACTTGGGCCCTTTAAATGAAATATAAAGTCAAAGTTGATTAAATTAATTTAATGGTGGTTTCTGTTCACCCGTGAATTCGCAGGTAGAACCTCTTGTTTATTTATAAGACGGAACTGACTTAGTTTGGAAGTGGAAGAAAACAACACCTGCCAAGAAGGCGCTTGCATTGTTAATATATCTTTTGTCGCAGTAAAGCCTTATGCACCTCTTTGTATTTTTATTATTTCTATTAGGCTATTTTAACTTGTTTCGTAACCTATTAGGCGAATATTTGGACCTATTTACTTATTAACAGGTCCATATACTTATAAAAGCACAAGGTCTCTCAGTCGAGGAAATGTATATCAGGGTTCTAGCACTGGCAATTCATTGGCTTTTAGCTAAGTTGAGGAGAAATATCACTATACAACCAATGTGACATGTATTTTTATGGACTGATAATGTTATACAATTTTTCAGTGGAGAAAATATTACAGTATCAACTTCCAAAGGGGGTGTGGTAGGGTTAAGAGTCAGTCTCAACCCAGCAACAGGTGTGTCTTATGATGCATTCCTAGGAGTTCCATACGGAAAGGTCCATTCCCGTTTTCAGGTATGAACTTCAAACGGCTATATTGTATTTAAAACGGGCTTCTAAACTAAAACTGAGTTGAATAAATTACTTTGCACACTACAATTTATCTCATTATATAGTAAAAATTAAGCATATATTCATAGGTGTTTATTTAGCTAGGTTTGAGTGTACTGAAGTCACTAAATGTTTTGTCTCATCAAATGTTCAATTTTACTAAATGTGGTTTATTGTTAGGCTACGTTTTAAGTTAAAAGCTAAACTTAGTTTGAATATGGTTTTGTTCGGTTAAAGAGTTTTTTAAGTTTAGTGAAATCCACAATTATTTAAACTGATTACATCACTGAGCTTCTCAAAAATCAATGGAGCCGTTCTTTTAAACATAATATTTTTATAACAGGACATATCTGATTGAGGGTTGAGTCGTTAGCCTAGATTTAGCCCCTCGGATTTTGGTCCGAGAGGGTTTGATCCTTGCCATATACAAAAAAATGTATTGTAGGGTTTGGATTGTCTTACATTAAAAGTGCTTGGTACTATCCCAACTAAAATACTAATGGCTTTAAATACTAAAGACCTTCTTATTTCACTATTTTCAAGATTAATCTCATATGTAGCCACCGTCAGCCCGAGATGCCTGGAATGAACCTCTTCTTGCTCAAAAGGATGGACCGATGTGCCCGCAACTCGACGTGGAATTCAACGAAGACTGCCTTTATCTGAACGTCTTCACGCCTGTGGTAAATACTTAGGGGCACTTAATTTGATACTTAAAAATACTTCTTGATTGGCATTTCCTGTGTTGGTGATATTATGTAGTAAAATACGGGGCTTTTTCAAATGTTATCTACCTATTTTTATACAACAGATACATAGGCTAGAAAATATAAAAATGCGATGTCACAATGCATATCTATTTAAGTTATAAGTCATACAGAATCCATTATCATCTGCCCAATCTGAGACTAAGTTAATCATAATGATGCCCTTGTTTTAATACTAACTTTGGTCGTGGTTATTTGTGTATGCTCGCCCTTAGTATGCTTAATCTATGATAAAACAAAAAAAAAACATTCTTGGAAGTGATTCTTTTTTAGAGGATGGCGGTCTCTTTTAACTTTGCATTTGCCCGTCCACATAGACTACAGATGTGTGCTGGAACGTATCCAGCAAAGCAATGGGTGAGCCGGTACAGTACAAATACACTTCACAGTACCTTACATGGAAATTTATAATTAATATTACAAAAAAAAATAAAAATAAATCATTCCCCCGCCTTATTGCTTCTGCAGAATGCTTCTCAGACATCCGTTGCCCGACCTGTGATGGTGTATATCCATGGAGGAGGTTTTAGCTTCGGTTCCAGCTCATCCCTCCAGTACGGGCCTGACTTTTTGATCCCTCAAGAGGTTATTCTAGTCACAGCCAACTATCGGCTAGGGGCAGCAGGTATTCCTATTGTTATTTAAATAATATCTTTATCAGCATAGCCCACAAGGTAATGGCATTATTCAAATGGCTCCCTCAAACGTGGTCATTACATAAGCGATGATAATGATAACTTATGTAGTACATGCAAAGGAGATTGATTGTGACCAGTCAAACCTTGTCATACTCCTCGATTAGGTATGATTATTATTGGTCAAAATTGTTTCCAATTTTTTATCATATTTTTAGCATTATGTAAAATTTATGTCGGAATTAGATTAACACATCCTAGCTCCGTGAGGTGGTTATATTCTATCTAATTAGCAGAATATACTTCAACACATATTTCAATGTAATTCCTCATTGCTTCAGGATTCCTGACCTTAGGAACTCCTGATGCACCAGGAAACCTAGGCTTGTACGACACTATGCTAGCTCTAAAGTGGGTCCAACAGGAGATCAGAATGTTTGGAGGAGATCCCACACTAGTGACTCTGTTCGGTCATAGTGCTGGATCAGTTTTGGTAATGTCTCACTACATATCTCCAGTCTCCACAGGTATGTAGTTTTAAAAGAAAATTAGTCATAAAGCATTTAAAAAAGTGTTTCCATTCAAAACTATACCGAGTAAAGACTATTTAACGTAAAGTAGCCTAATGTTTAGAGAAACTGTGGCTGAGTACTACTGAGTAAAACCTATGGAACCATTCTTAGTTTTGGTCTTTCTAACGCCAATGAATAACTTGATGCACCCGTAAAACACAATTTAAAGGTTGAAGATTACGTAAACTTGTTAAAGGAGTGTATCTACATTTTCAATTCATCCTAAATGAACTACATAGGTTTATGTTGGATTAATTCATCATAGCGATTGGTAATTCAGTGTGTTAATGTACAGTACATTGTAACAGTTGACAATAGAGAGTATATTGAAGATCTACATTCAAGCGATTGACAAAAGTATCAAATGTTAATTTAAATATAACCTCTATTTTTAGGCCTTTTTAAGCAGGCGATAAGTCAGAGTGGCTCATTATTGGTCAATTTACTGCCTTCCAAAGAGGCTGTTCGAAGAGCCAAACTTCTCTCAGATGCTGTAGGCTGTGACTCATCGCTCAACAGTACCTTACTTCTGAGCTGTCTACAAAGAGTGGACATAAAAAAAATTGTAGCCGAGCAAAACGTGGCCTTACCGATAGAGGTAAGGGAAATACAACCGATTACATTTTTCTCTATTTCCTCATGGCTAAGGTAATCTAAATCGGCCGATGAAACAACTAAAAGTTAGGTGGTCTACCATCAGAGTAGACTGTCCCTTGACAAGTCTTGGGCTTCGGGTGATGACGGTTTTTTTTCTACACCAGTGGCATTTAAATAATAAATCGACGATGGATTGAAATCTTTTATGTGAAAGCGGCAACACACTTACTATTGTAAATTTAGCTTTTCAGAAAAACACAGTTTTCTTGATTAATCGTCGACAGGCATATATAAATAAAAGACAACATTACACGGTTACTAAAATATAGATAATGAAGCCTTAATTTAATTTTTAAATTCAGACAATTGAATTAGAAAAGGTTATCCTGCCCTGGATTGATTGATTGCAATAAACTTAAATTAATACTATTTAATATTCACCTTAACTTACTGTTACAGTATATAGCCAAAGGAGCGACCCTGCGTTTCACACCGGTTATCGACTCGTTCGCAACGAATTCTTTCTTTCCGGACTCCTTGGATAACCTGATGAAAGGAGCAATAAACAGATCAAAACCACTTATCACTGGGTTCGCTGCTGCAGATGGAATCGTCAAGTTTCGTAAGATTGGCTAACAATAAATAAAATACAATAGAAATAGAGGAACGTTTGGTTTTGGCTTTTAAGATAACATTAAATACAAATGATATTGTGGCTATGGCCATATAGTATTCCCACTAATATATACATCTGCGACTTACTGTCTTAACTGTACTTAAAATGTAAAAATTATCATTTGATCAGCTGACTTCTTGTAAATGTTATATTTTATTGTAGTTCTTTTCTAAAACAAAAGTGTTTCAATGATTTATAATCTCTTCTTTTAATTAATTTATTTAGTTTTAGTATATTATTTATATAAGGCACAGGCCTTTTTTGGTGACCCTTTATTATCCTTGTTATTGTCATTAATTCAATTAGACCATCATGAATAATCAAGAATCTCCCCCGACTCCTAGTACACAAGAGGCTTCACAAATCTCACCAATTCAAGTGAAAATTCCAAAATTTTGTACCAAAAATGTTTCACTTTGGTTTCATCAAATTGAATTTAAACTTTCTCTTCATGAAATTTTGAAGGAAAGGACTAAATACAATGAGGTAATGACATGATTATGTTACTGGACAATGAAGTTGCAAGTCACATTTTAGATTTCATTATCAAACCTTTGTCTCACTCCCTACTCTGACAAGGAAAAGGCTATGCTCAGAATATGAAATCTCAGAAAATGTTAAGCTAAAACAACTGACATTTTTTCTCGGAGAAAAGGAGCCGACAAAACTTTGTAAAATGAGAACCTTAGCAGGCACGTGACAGGTAACTGATTTTTAAAAGTTATTTTTCTAAAACGTCTACCTAGTCACATTCGTACTGCTCTAGCTGCTTCTCAAACCAATTCTCTTGATGACTTAGCTAAATAAGGTGACCAAATAGCTGAACCATCAGCTGTCGACAACTACGTTTGTGCTCAAGGAGATGTCGCGCAATCTAGTGATCGGATTGCCAACTTAGAAAAACAAGTCAGTGAACTATTTCAGTCCATTGATAAACTTCTTTGGTTAAGTAAACAAAACTTGCTATCCAAACATAAGAACCGGTACTATCCTAAAGAGAGAAATGATCAAGGTGAAATTTGCTGGTATCATAACCAAACTGAAAATGCCAAAAAAGTTTTAAACCTTGTTTTTTCACGCCAAAAAATAAAGCACAACAGGAAAACTTCCTGCCTCGTCTCTCGATATTCCATCCCCATGTTAAAAATGTAGCCAGGTTTTTAACAAAATTTGTCTTAGTTGATGTGAGCCACATACAGATTGCGCTGATATAAATTACTGATTTCTGCCGATTACATGATGGTTTTTACCAAGTCAAATTGATGGAATTACTTATTATGAGCTATAGCAACTGTTGTGACCCAGCTACTATGTCAGTAACGAAAAATAAGGTACAAAATAGAGTTTTGGACACTAGCGCAATCCGTGATTGGCTTACACAACTACATTCTTTTTTAGTAATAAAATGGTGACAGCTGATCCATATAGATCGGATGTCTTCTTCTGTATCCAATAGTCAATGGATTACCCAGACAATTATATGCTGCCAATTGCTCTGTTATTAAAACGTACGGTAAACAAGACATAAAACGTGGTGTAGGCTTGAAAAGAAAGTTTGCCTGGTCTTTCATAGTTGCAGACTTAACCCAACCCATAATGGGAGCAGACTTTTTATCAAATTATGGTGTACTTTCCGATATGAAAAATAAAAGACTAATCGTAACAGAACGCAATTATCTGTTATGGAAATTCAAAAACTTTCAAATCGATAATAAGCATTGGTTCTTGACCCAAAAATAAAATACCCAAAACTTATCAATCAATATTCTAATTCTTATTGAACGAAAATTCTAATTTTCAAGTTTCACAGGACACATTTTTTCCCTCAATTAAGACAACAGGTCAGCCTGTGAACTTTAGAGCTAGCTGGTTACCTACAGAAAAAATTGCGGTAGCAAAAAAGGAGTTTCACAAGATGGTTGAGTTAGACATTTGCAGGCCTTCAAAAAGCTATCGGTCCCTTCCACTTTATTTAGTTCCTAAAACTGATGGTACATGGAGACCTTGCGGGGATTAGCGTGCCCTAAATGCCAAAACAGTTCCTGTTAGATATATCATACCGTATGTGCGTGATTTTAAAAGCCAGTTAAATAGAAAAACTATATTTTCCAAAATTGATCTTGTGCGGGGTTTTCTTTCCATTCCAGTATCTCCTGATGACATTCCAAAAACTGCTGTCATAACACCTTTTAAATTATTTGAATAAAAAAATGGCATTTGGATTAAAGAAATGCTGCACAAACTTTCCAGACATATACTAATCCTCTTTTGCATGATCTAGAGTTTACATTTTGTTACTTACACGATATCTTAGTAGCATCCTCTGCAGAAGGTGAACATATTATTAAATTGCGAACAGTTTTTGATAGACTTAATAAGCATCATATCAATAGTAATACGCCAAAGAGCGTATTTAGCGTGACAAAGATCTCTTTTCTTGGTTACACAGTTTCTAAACAAGGAATTTCTCATCTTCCTGATAAAGTTGAAGCTATTGTTAATTGCAAACTTCCTAAAACCTTTCTTGAACTTCATAAATTCCTTGGACTTATAAACTTTTACAGAAGTTCACTCCCTAACGCAGCTCAGCAAAAACTATTTGATTTGTCTAAGAGTACACATAAATGTGAAAAACTTAAAATAATTTAGTCTACAGAATCTAAGAATGCTCTTGAGGATGCAAAGGGTTATCTCCACTGATGCTCCTTTGACTCTCATGGTCGATATATCAAACTTCGCTATAGGTTCGTCTCTCCACCAGATTTGTAATGGAAACTTTGGACCTCTTGGGGTTTTCTCTAAATCCCTTACAACTCAGAAAAATACAGTACCTATGACAGGGAACTCCTGGCCGCATACCTATCTGTGAAGCACTTCTCCTTGAAGGGCGAAGTTTTGTTGTATACACAGATCACAAACCTCTATCTTGTGCCTCCCATAAACCCTCTTTCACATCTAGCCCTAGGCAATTGCGTCATCTAGATTTCATTGGACAGTTCACTACCGACATAAGGTATCTACCAGGGAAAAAAACATTCCTGCTGATTTCACGTCGAGAATGAGTGCTAATGACCTACCATCATCTGTACGATTTGAAAAAAATTCTGAAACTCGATATCAAGATGCTGAACTAAAAACCTAAAATACTCAAACACATTATTTGATAATCAAAAATATTTTACTTCCTAATGGCTCAGAGCTGTGATGTTCATTCCAGAGGAATTCATTCCTCAGCAGTTCAGAAAGCAGTTATTTGACTCCCTTCACAACCTGGCAAATCCGGGAATCAAAGGGCCTTTGGACCTTATTAAACAACGTTTTGTTTGGCCATCCATGAATAAAGATGCCAGACTTTGGGCCAAAGCATGTCTAGCTTGCCAGAAGTCAAAGGCTTGTTAACACATTGTTACTGAGATTGGAGCTTACAACAACAATAATGGACGTTTTTCTCACATTAATGTGGACATAGTTGGACCCTTGCCACCTTCTCAAGGATTTACGTACTTGCTAACTATCATAGATGGCTTTACACGATGGGTCGATACACATCTTTCTACCTGGATTGCTAGATTTGGAGCTCCTCAAAACATTACTACAGATAGAGGAAGATAATTCCACTGTAATTTATTCCAGGAATTAACAAAACATCTCGGTATCCATCGCATTAAAACTACGGCATATCACCCTGAAGCTAATGGAAAGATCAAAAGATAGCACCGACATCTGAAATCTGCATTAACTTTACTTTACTTTACCAATGGTTCTACTGGGACTAAGATCTAATATTATTCTAAAACACAATGTTACTGCTGCAGAAATGACACTAGGTCAGTCCATCAGACTACATGCGATCTTTTTCAAACCACAGAAGATACCTCAACAAATATTCCAGATTTAGAGTACAATCTGAAAAGAAAAATTATTGATCTCAAACCATAGAAGCCAAAAATTATTCCTCTAAGAAGGTCTTTGTTCATCCAGAATTAAGAGCATCCAACCATGTTTTTGTTGGTCATGATTCATCCAAAAAACCGCTTCAGCTGACTATGATGGTCCTTACCAAGTGGTTTTGCGGTCTGACAAGTGGCTTAAGCTGGGTTTTCCTAGGTGCGGAAGCGGAGAGCGGAGAGAGGAACGCAGAGAGCGGAAAAGAAATTAACATGGCGTTCCGCCCCGCTTCTAGGAAATCAGTAACATTAAATCACCTAAGAAAAGTGGAGTCCGCTCTCCGCTTCCGCGCCTAGGAAAACCCGGCTTTACTGTTCTTACTCCACGAAGACCTAGGCCAAATCCTATTAACCGACTCAAACCGGCATTTCTCCTTCAAGATTCTTAACTGATACGACCAACAACGCATGAAAAAGTGACATAAAATCTATAGAAACTCGAGTAGACAAGACTTAAGACAGCAATAAAGATGTTGGCCTTTAAAAAGCACAGATTTTTACAAGATTAGGTCGTAGTTTCAATCCCCCACATCGTTGTTCCTCGTTGACACTGGGAGGGTAGTATGTGGCTATGGCTATACAGTTTTCCCACTAATATGAATCTGCTACTTACTGTCTATACTGTACTTTATATGTGAAAATTATCATATGATCATCTGACTTCTTGTAAATGTTATATTCTATTTTATTTTAGTTCTTTCTTAATACATAAGTGCTTCAATGATTTATAATCTATTCTTTTAAATACTGTATTTTGTTTTCGTATATTTATATAAGGCACAAGCCTTCATATAATATTTTTCCAGGATAAGCAATTTCACTAATTCTTTTCGAGATGGCTTACTAACTTTTTCTTATAAAACTCAACAATCAAAGATATTAAATTTAGGAAGTTGAAAAATTGTTTTATACACAACTTGTTGATAAATTGTTTAGTTCTTTGTTCTTTTTTGGACTGTCCATCTATATAAATAAAATTATGATTTTGTCTGTACATTGCTCAGAATTATATATTTTTTGGTTAATTTTACGTTGTTTACATTAAAGAAGGCGAAACAAGTCTCATCTCAATTTCTGTCTGTCTGTCTGTCACGGCCCAGAGAACATTTTACGCGGCCTTCTCCAGAAAAACGAGAGCATCGGTCGGGATTCAAATAGTCAGTTGATCACTGCAGATACGTTTACTATGCATACGTGCAGTCTGTGCTGCAGTATGGCATACTGGCGTGGGGCGGTGTATCTGCTGCCACATTGGCTCCTCTTCACGTAACCCAGAAAACCTTAATCAAAATTATTCTTAAAAGGCCGAAACATTATTCAACGAATTTACTTTTTTCCGAATTCCCAGTTTTAAATATTAGACAATTGTTTATCAAAACACTATTACTTTTCATTAAGAACAACAAGGAAACTATTTTTTCTAACTTACAACACAGTTATCACACTAGACACAGGCATAACTTTGGATACCGCACTCCACAACTAGCATATAGTTCGTTGAAAAATAACGTGTTTTACATAGCTCACATCCTTAATCGCAACTTGCCGCCCAACATAACTGATAATGAATCAGGCAGTGTCGCTGTGTATAAAAGCAAGGTCTGTGAGTGGCTGATGACTGTGGGACGAGAGGCTGCAGAGGCTTTAATTCGCTTGCCTTACATTTAAATTAATCTCTGACATCAAACGCCACCATAATAGCTATCAAAATAAATTTTCTGCTGGTAAGAGCTCTTCCCTCGAGCACGGACTTGCAGTCCATTCGGGGGAATACTATTCTTATCCTAAAAATGTATTCCTGTATTTATAAAGGTGAATAAAGTGATTTTTGATTTTGTTTTGTCCTTTTGTATTCACTGGGTTGGCAGAGTGTCTTTATCCATTTAAATATCCACTATTGTTCAAATCAAATAACGGACATCCAAAAACCCAATTCAGTGCGATTTTTGTCAAGTTTTCTCTTGATGTTTATTGGTGCAATGATGTGTATTTGAGTATAAATTGTACTTGAGTTATAATAGCCGGGAAACAGACGCTGCAACTGTGCTGTATACGGAGTTTTGCTTGCATATCTAGAAAAAGCGCACTAAATATATGCAAACCAACTGCTGTTCAAGGTTTCAACTAACTACATGATCCCATCGGTAGAACGGGTACACAGCTAGTTCAATTTTAAAAACTTTTAATCGACATTTTTAACATTCTGTAACTGGATCAGATTGTTATATCCCTTCACGTCTTAAAAGATTTTTCTATTTGATCGTGATAAAAAAACATGCTTCAGATAAAACTAATATATTTGAGATCTTGGCATGATTTCGTACATTTTGTAGTAATGTAGTATTATTTAAATTTATTCTTTTATTCAATATATGATTTTACATTTTGATTACAGAAGATACGGAACAGGTCTGGAAGCTTTCGGAGGCCAACCTTGCTGCTTTTATTCGCAAAAATAACCTTGGATCACTTTCTTCAAACTTGATATCTTTAATGACTGAACAAATTAGAACAAAATATTTTCCAGTATCACCAGGACAAAATAAGATCATTGACTTAGTCAACCTGTACACCGACGCTCTCTTTGCATATCCTACAATTGTGGTTAGTATTTCAAGTTTCGCTTTGAAAAACTAGACACGTTAACACTAGACTAAACTAGACACAACAAAGGTTATGAGACTGACTGTTGCGGCTGGCCTACTTTGTTAGCACTAATTATAAACAATACAATAATAATAAAATGAAATAAAATAAAATAAAACTGCACCGACAAAACCATTATGAAAACGAAGTAATAAATTCTTCTTACAACTTAGAGATATTTTAACAAAAAGAATATTTTCCCCAACTATAGTTCGTAAATGATAAGAACAAATTTTAATCTTGAAGCTAAAATTATTCATTTTATACAGTCGAGAGATATTACAAACTATATATTTTTTAACAATATTTATTAAACGTAGTTTTCCCTTTCAGCACCAAACAAAACAAAACAGCACCAAACCATTTACAAAATTATTGTGTTTTTACAATATGTTTTTTATTAAGCCACGTATTTTTAAATTCAGAATATTTAAAATAACTTTGTTAGTGTCCACCAATCCCAACTATTCAAAATCTCTATAGATATTAGTATAGCTCCTATATTAAGAAAAAAACAAAAGAAAATAAGACGAATAACCGTAACAGAAAACCAAAAGAATGGTTTTATTTGTGTTCCATATAATAGTAAATTCAATGGAGCAATAAGGAAAAACGATCAAAATTTCTAAATTAAGTGTTATATAAAACCAAAAACAATGCATTGGAAGAAAGATCAAAAAGTTATAAATTTAAAATTCAAGTCATTCAAGTGTAGATACAAAGAACATCTGCAAGCATTTAAATCAAAGAATGTAACTAGTATGAAAAGTAATGTTGCGAACACATGCTTATTGAAAAACATAATTTTGAATCTAAAGGAAATAAACTAGCCACAGCAGAGAATATCAATTTATCAAACCAATTCGATATATCTTATACGTATATTAAAAACACTTTTGCAAAATATATGTCAGCTATCCTGGCCATACTTATGGACCGAATTACACGCGGGTTGTACCAAATTAAGGCTTATAGTTCCTATATGTGCATGTTTTATTCGTATTTTGAAAATATTTTTGCTAATTGGGTCAAAAATAGAAATTAAACTTTGCTTATGGAGTTTTAACATTAGGGCCTTATTTTTAAGCTTACGACAGCCACCCTGATAATACTAATTGGAAAAAAATAAAGCTACCTCTCCGAGGATACATATAAGTAGGTAGAATATAGCAATATGATAACACTTATTCAAAAAACGAGGGGGCGAGAAGCAAGCTTAAGGCAATGCTTTGGTTCGGGAGCGAGCCCAAGCTCCAAGGCCCCAAATCATTTTGGCATGGAATATTCACCTTAGCCCTTGGTACATACATGTTTCAAGACTCCTAGAATAGTTTGGCAAAAAATAGTTTTCTTCAATTTTTCAAGTCCAGGCCTAAAATGTTCAATATTTTCATATAAATCGCCAGAGGTCCCAAGACTATGTGTTACTTGCATTTAAAGTAATTCAACCAAAACTTTATATTTTTCAATATTTTGAACCTACTTGGTATAAGATTTTATGCAAATCTCGCGCAGTCAAGTCCCAGATTTTGAAAATATGAGTATGGATTGGCATTAAAGATAATTCAAGGAGTTGGATATTAATGAAATGATTTGGGGGTTGCCTACCAAACGACGAGGGGACGAGAAGCTATCCTGCGGCAATGCCTACGGGTCGATAGCGCGCCTGAGTTCTGGTTTCAAATCTCGCACAGCCAAGTCCGTAAGTTAAAAAAATATATGTGGGGATGGATGGGGATTGGAAATTTTTATGGAGTTGGACGGTAGTACAGTACATTTGAATAGGGATGTATAGACCGAGAGCATGATTTTTTCAAGTGGCTAAAAAAGCTTTCCATGTTATTCTTACGGGAAAAACCCCTCCAAGTGTCATCACGTTGCTATATTCTATCAACTCATATGAAACTGTTACCTCTTCGATTCTGACCTAGGACTCTGCCCCGTAGGTTTTCAAAATTCTGAAGTAAGGTGTTTAAAAGTTAATATTGATTGGTCTCCATTGTAACAAAGTACAATCTCACAAAGTTTAAATGTAAATAAGCAGGACTGTCAAATGAATTTAGATTTCCCATTTCCACACAGCTGTTTAAACATATTAAATACTGCACGCATATTAGAACAGACAGGGTATGTATAACAGATATAAAACATCACGTCACTCGCCTGGCTGTAAACATTATTTAACATTACTTAAATTGGACTGTCAAACCATTATGTTAAGGTAATTAGTATAGGATTATTTCAATTTTTTAATTTGTTTATGTTTATGATCCATACTGAGTGTTTTCTGATATTTTTGAAAAGCTGTGATAATATTTTACAGGGAATATGTCATTGGAAAAGAAATTGTTCATGGATGTAGGAAATAATCATAAGACTCTATCATTATTGCCGTGTCAACCTAGGCTCTTATCCTGAGTGTTATGAGAACTAGTTTTTGATGTGTTTTTGTGTAAACAATAATAAGATATCCCTGCCGCAGCAAACCTGCAGACTAAGTGAATATCCTGATTGTAAATGCACTAAAATGTGTTATGATATTACACTCTTGACAGCTTTGGAACTATTGTGATAGCTTGTCGTTTACTAGACGTTCACAAGACTACATTTAATTCTTTACTAAGCATAAAACAATTTCATTCATGTCTTTTGCACTTTCATAGACAACTCGAGCATTCGCAAATTTCACCTACGGCTACATGTATGATTTCCTCGGAGCGTGGAATCCTATGCCAGATTACTTTTCCCAATTCAAAGTGACAGGAGTATTTCACGGGGCAGAATTGACTTATCTGTTCTACTCTGCAAATAGTTCACAAGACTTAGGAAAATGTTTGACGAATCTGCCTGCTATTGCCATGAGAAACAGTCTAGTTAGTATGTGGACACACTTTGCTAAACATGGGTAAGTTGGTACATTCATAAAAAATACTTTAAATTTAAAATTAACGGAAAATACTTTATTTTTGCACATACAAAAGTTATCAAATATTTATTTACATATATGACCTGTGTAGTTTTATATAAGAGTAATTTATATTAAAAGAATTGTATGTAGTTGGTAATATGGCATGTTTCTATTTAGTATATGGAGAATGCTTTCCGATGTTTCGTATACTTATTCATCGCTATTCACAAACTTTCAAAATACTTGAACCCACTTACCCACTGTTAATATAACCAACAAGAAAGTACAATTTAAAACTACCCTAAGATAAACCAACGCAATTAGTTTATACCATTCTCAAACGTATCAGGACATGGAATGCCTGAGCCATATTTTAAGTCATTTAATAAATTCATCTTTTGTATCAGGAATTTTTCCAAATCAATTAAAAAAATCTAAAATAATACCAATTTATAAGAAAGACGACCTAGAAACTGTGTCAAATTACCGTCCTATTTCTCTCCTACCAGTAGTATCAAAAATTTATGAAAAAATTGTTAACTGTCAGTTACTAAATTATTTAGAAGAATTTAAACTATTAAACAATACTCAGCATGGATTTAGGCCTGGAAAATCTGTAATTACAGCTGCAGTGTCATTCATAGAATCTATAATTGAATCTGTTGATAAGGGGGAGTTCACAATTGGAATTTTCATGGACCTAACTAAGGCATTTGATAGTGTCGACCACACCCAACTTATAGATAAATTACTCATTTTAGGGGTTACAAAAAAATCAATAAAATGGTTTCAGTCATACCTAAATAATCGTTGTCAGTTTGTAGAAATCACACATAATCATGATAACAGAATTACAACATTTTCTTCTGAAACTGAAAGGGTTAAATGTGGTTTACCCCAGGGGTCAATCCTTGGCCCCCTGTTGTTTTTATGTTATAAATGATGCTGGTGGTGCACTCTCATGTTTACCTCAGAACAATCTTTGTTTTAATGCAGACGATACAAATCTCAAAGTATCGGCTGAGTCAGTGCAACAAGTTGAAATTTTAAGTTTTGTTGAATTGGCAAACATTGGAAACTTTCTAGAGCAAAATAAATTGAAGCTTAATCCTAAAAAAAAACTAATTTTATAACTTTTAAAACAAATCAAAATAAAAAGTTAATTGAACCAAATATCATGTATAATGCAGAAGAAATTGAACATAAACACAGTACACAGTTTCTAGGTCTAACTGTGGACCAAAATTTAAACTGGGATGAACATGTTGATAAACTCCTTTCAAAACTATGTTCAGGACTATATTCACTCTATAGAATGTCTTATTTTTGTAACCATAAAACATTAAAAAATATATATTATGCTGTCCATTCACATTTATCCTATGGTTTGTGCCTTTATGGTTCAACTACAATAGCAAATTTGGAAAGGATTCTTAAACTTCAAAAAATAGCAATAGGAATAATTTTGAAATTAGAACACAACGAAACAACCAAAAACAAATTCAAAGAACTGAAAATTTTAACGGCATATGGCCAATATATTTACGACACAATTATTTTTGTAAGAAACTGCTTGAGCACCTCTGAGACAAATTATCACCCATACAACACTCCTTATTATATTATACCCATAAAAAATTCCTTATTTCAAGTAAACATAAATTAAAATTTATACATAATTTGCCTCCAGGATTGATCTATTGACATAAAATGAGGTTACTAACCTGTCGTCAATCAGTCCTCTATTGTCTTTGATGACTATAGTTTCGGGGTTATAACCCCATTTTCAAATCTTCTCTTCAGTCGTCAAATGTCAAACATATTCTCTTGCGTAAGCCGTCGTCAAAATTACTTTACATATACACAAAAACACACACGAAAACATTTATAAATACAAATCATGTACATGCGCGTGAGGCCGGCCAAGGACAAAACCAGACTGTCGTGGCAGTCTGGTTTTGTCCTTGGCCGGCCTCACGCGCATGTACATGATTTGTATTTATAAATGTTTTCGTGTGTGTTTTTGTGTATATGTAAAGTAATTTTGACGACGGCTTACGCAAGAGAATATGTTTGACATTTGACGACTGAAGAGAAGATTTGAAAATGGGGTTATAACCCCGAAACTATAGTCATCAAAGACAATAGAGGACTGATTGACGACAGGTTAGTAACCTCATTTTATATAAATTAAAATTCTATGAAAAAAAACATCCTATATAGGATTAAAATTTTTTAAGCATCTTCCTAATGAAATCAGAAATGAACAAAGCAGGAAGAATTTCATGAGAAAACTAAAACTTTATTTAGTAGAGAAAGCGTTCTATTCCCTGGAAGAGTATTTTTCCACCTCCCCTCTTAGCGTCAGTAATTGATTCGGTTTTGATTATTTTCATTTCCTGGTTCTTGGTTTTTAATTTAGATAATGATCCAAGATATGCAAATCTGTAAATTATTAATTTAAGATAGATTTAGTTCACACCATTCAATGTACAAAACTGTACTTTATGAATAAAGCATATTTGATTTGATTTGATTTGAATATGCATAAAATCAAACTTTAACAATAACATCGGGATTATAAGGCTACTTCTAAAATCTAAGGTTAACGGGATTCGTAATTAGTACAGTTAGAATTACAAGTACACTAAGTTATTTGACTAAAATAACAGGTAACGCAGCACTTGTTCGCAATCTATTGGCTAGATTTGTAGTCTGCTTTTGTACCAATTAAAAAGGTTTGTAAGAAATTTTTTGAAACCTAAATCCATCTTCCAAACTTCCATAGAACATACCGTTAGGCGAGTATTTAATGAAGTCGCCAAACCTTTGATTACACTTTGCAAGCAAATATGCGTTTATTTGTAAAAATATGAACTGGTTACTGATTCAGGTCTCCCAACGCTTCATTATCCTGGCACACCTTGGCCACAGGGAACTACCTGTTGATTGGAGAACAACTCTCCTTGCTGAACAGTTCTGCGGTAGAAGAACAACATTACCAGTTCTGGGCGGACTTGGTGACTCAAAACAACTCCGGCAATGTGTTGGGGAACCTGGTGATGGTGTTAGCTGTATCTATAATCTTATATTTTTGAATGTAAACATATGAAATACAACCTGTGTAACAACTTATTTTCAGATTATTGAAATTTTAACACTTCTTCGGTTTTGGTTTTAACAATAACATCAAATATCTTTTAAAATACACCAAATGTAGCATATCTAGATTTGAAAGTCATACCTATAACATTATATTTGTGTCAAAAAACAGAAATATTAGATTCCCCTTATTAAACAGAGATCACTATTAAAATTGTATTCTACAAATAAATATGTAATCGTTTTTACTTTAAAGAACAGGTAAAAATTTTACATGTTATTTTTGTCAACTTGCATTTAGAGCAAACATGCGAACGAATGTCAATTGAGAGGAGCAGATATTATAGGATTTGAGATTTTGAGGCTTTAATCATGTCCACTTAAGCCAAGCGTGATTACTTTTGCACATCAGTTCTTCTAAATAGCTAATCTTTAAAAAGTGAGAAATTTTATTCAAAGAGGCTACTTTAGTAGTGGTGAACCCAGAAAGACATGACACTTTAGGCACGTTTTTCCCATGTTATTCTTATGGGGATTATTTTTGGCCACTTTTTTTAAGACCCTGATCTTTGCCTGTACACCCCTATATAATGTTCAATACCATTGTAAAACTTCATTACTATTTTAAATCCACATCTATTCACATGTATATTATCAAAATCGAGCGAGGTTTGTACGCGAACTCGGGCGCGCTCCCGGCTCATGGTGCGCTCCCTTGGACATCCTTAGTGGAAATCCATGAGTACTGGCTACTTGGGAATCCAAGCCATTTGACATACAATAAATCACCCTTCCTCTTAATTACCTTTTCTATCAAATACATGTCTTTATATTTGGTCTTTAACAACTCCTCTGTATAGAAGCCTCCCCTGATTATATTGACATTTTCATCTTTCAATATATAAGTCACAGGCTTTGAATTCTTAACTTCTGCTATTGTAAATAGCTCCCCTGTCCAATTTGGAGTATAAACTTTACTAAAAACATGTTTATACTAGGAAATCCTCACACTATCACCTACCTTATATAGTGGCTTTTTAACTTGCATTACTTTAGAAGTCAACCTCTCATGCACATATTTACTGTTCTTAATACTCACTTGGTTAGGCTTCATTCCTATAGATCTATGCACTTTATTATTATATTTTCGAATTAACTTTGGAAGTAAATCCAACCATTTATAACTCCCCTGAGCATTAAATTCCCTATATATCCAATTCTTTAAAGTTCTCTGAAACCTCGCCACAATTGCAGCCTTAGTGTGATAGTGATTAATATTTAATGTTGTCATTAGTTTGTTAAAATATTGATTAAAAAATTATTTTTCATTGTCAGATTGGATGTTTTTAACCCACTTTGGTAGAATGGTTTTAATGGCTTCTGTAACCACTAGACCTGTCTTATTCTTTAGTGGAGCAGCATAAGCTTTTTTAGAAAATGTATCTATTAACGTTAAAATATATTTATTGCCAGAATTCTCTCTAGCATAGTTTTGCATATCAATTAAATCTATTTGTATGGTTTCGTTTATACCCAATACTTTAAAAGACCTTCTAATGAAATTCTTTCTTGCAGGCTTATGAAGTTCGTATGCAATTTCATTCATTTTTTATAACATCACTCTTTCCTTAAACTGTAAATATATTACCATTAGCCCCAATCAATGGATTATCTTCCATTCTTTTTAATACATAGTTTTCTGGTATATATGGTCTATTAAATCCACTCAAAGATGTGGGGTCAGCAACTAATAAATCAGGATTGTATTCCATCAAATTAAAATGTTTTTCTCCATACACAAATTTTGATCCATCATATCGCATAGCTTGTGACATTAGACAAATATCATCCGAATGTTCCCCCTCTGGTAGATTCCTTATAAATAATCTTTTGGCATCCCAACAATATAGTTTTTTTTTATTATAAGTTATAGTCTGTTCTTTTGTAACACAGTCAGTGTCATCAATGGCAGGTTTAACACGTACTAACCTTTTATTATTAAAATCCCAATAGCCTGCTTCCATTTTTGGAACTTGTGAAATATTCACAGCATCTTTACTATCTGTACCTTCTATCAAATCGCTAAGTTTCTGTTTCTTAGCATTCCAAACACCATTCTCTGATTCTAAAAATTCATAATTATTATCGTCTTGTACAAATTTACCATCTTTTCGTATTAAAGTCTGTTGTAAAGTAGGCACATCATTTAAACTTTCACCCCTTTCCACATTAGTAATTTTCCGTTTTTTAGCATTCCAAACACCATTCTCTGATTCAAAAAATTCATAATTATTATTGTCTTGTACAAATGTACCACCGTCTTTACGTATTAAAGTCTGTTGTAAAATGGGCACATCATCTAAACTTTCACCCTTTTCGACATTAGTAATTTTCTGTTTTTTAGCATTCCAATTTTTATTCTTAGATTCTAAAAACTCATATTTAGTTTTACCTTGTAAAAAGACATCACCTTTTCTAGTTAATGTCTGTCCCAAAGTTGATACATCATCTACAAACTCTCCATCTTTAACATTACCAATTTTACAGTTTAAACAATTCCTACTATCGTCTTGTAAATTTAAAGTAGGTTCACTACTAGCCCTGGGTTCTGCAGGCTTATTATATGGATTATATAAACGATAAAATTTATCTATAAACATATTTTTATTCAATAAATAATTCCACTTTCTCTCAATTCCTCAATAATAGAATCTATTTCATTATCCACTCCTGAGATACCAGCTTGGCGACTTAGCCAAAGAAGTCTTAACCTATCTACAAGCTCATTAGGATCATGCCAATAAATATAGTCTATTTTATTACCAGTCACTTGTCTCAAACCTTCACCAACAGATTTAAAAAGAGGTTTAATTATATTAAGATATTTAGTATGTCTATTACTTGAAATTGGTGCACCATCTTTGTAGCTCTTCAAATGTCCATTTGTAGCTTCCAAAATTTCTTTATAATTTTGCAAATCAGCTGGAGTATAATCCTCAGGTTCTTTTAAAGTTAACAATTCCCACAAATATTTTGTCCCCTTGTAGGTTTTATTTGCAACTGTAACATCATCATTGGCAATATCAACTTCCTTATTTCCAATAAAAAATGTATTTGCTTCTCGTCTAATACCATATGTAGTGTCTGTCATACTACTTTTACTGACGTAATTTCCTAAATAGTCTGATGCTAAAAGACCAAAATCTAATTTCTGTGGGGTGGATGTAATCTGTGGTTGTAATGGTTGTAATCTTGGTATTATTGGTATTCTAGATGGAGTCATTGGGAGAATCTCCATTCGATGCCTCTCTGTTTTGGCGATTTTTTTTATTCTTGTAATGGCTCTATTAAAGGTTGGAATGTTTGGAACCTCTCTTCAGCCTCTAGAAACTTGCCAGGTTTTAAAGCTCTATATTTCTCTCGTATTTGATTTGCAGAGTCAACCAATTCTTGTTGAATGTTTTTCATCTTTTATTTACATTTTATTTATCTCATTTGACAAAGGATTGTACTCAAACACTGCAGTTTCAATCTCTAATTTAATATCAACAATTCCTTCCTTCACTGTTTCGTTCTGTGTAGAACAGTCTATTACAATTAGTGGATATTTCTTCATAAACTACTAATCATAGGATCTGGGATAGTATTATAGTAAGTCTCTCTAAACCTTATAAACATCTCATAAGCTTTAGAGACATCTCCATTTTCAAAGTCGAGATTTAAATCGCTATAAGGATAATGTTCAGAGTTTAGAAATACTTTTTTAGATTTTTTTAGTTTACAGTGATCAAATTCATCAGTTCTTTTTCGTGCACTATTATCCCTAGCTGTTTGGAAACTAAATATAATATACCTAGGCTTCTCCAAACTTGAAGACGTCTTTACTGACCATGTATGTCTTGTAGTATTGGGATTTGATGGAAGTTCGTGCAGCTCTAAACTTCTAAATGCAATTTGCAAATTTTTATTTTGCAATAACATCTTTTGTAATTGTAACTTCTCCCCATTTGATGGTATCACATGTGGCATCACCCATTGAATTGAGGTAAGTGTAATTTTGGGAATTTCATCAGCAGTGCCACTGGCTGGAGCACTAGTGGTTGTTAATATGCAATTCAAATAATTTTTGGATCTTTTCAACACCAATTCTTGTTTGACATTTACTAAAACCTTATTAAAATCCTCGAATACACCCATTAACAGCTCTAATGGCAAACAAGTACTAAACTTGCCACCTTTATGGAAATTCGTGTCAGAATCAAATGCCACATTTGACAATTTAGTAGTTTTATTGTAAGAGCTCAATATTTTAATAAGACTAGAAATTCCTGGGTTTCTTACAATGTCTATTTCTTTACCTGCAACTTCGTATCTAATTTCATCAAATAAGAATGCAAATGCATTATTTATAAAATGACCTTTATCATGATTTTGAAATCATTAGGAAATTCCCCAAACTCCTAGTTCAAATGACGCAACAACGTAACAATATCAAAGAACTGAAGGGTCGGAAAACACCGCAAGGAGAATTTTCTTTTCATGAAAACGCTAATGTTTCTCGTTTAATGTTAATGTTGTTGTTTAATGTGTCGTTTAATGTCGTTTAATGTGTGTGTTTGATGTACTCTTACTTTTAATTAAATATATGATTAATAAAACACCAAGTCAACGTAAAGACTTTTTAATACGTCTTGAATTAAACATGGTCTACAATATTGATATTACACATTGGAGTACATTTCAAAAAGAAGGACGATGATCTCTACGCAGAGAGACATCCCCGCTACTCAAGACTACCAACTATAAAAACAAAATAGTTGAAGTAATATGAACTCATAACACTTCCCCTTTTTATAAAAGAAATAAACAGTACTTTTAGAACAACAGTAAAAGAAACAAACAGTACATCTTACATGTGAAATTGAAATAAGTACATTTTTTTAAAATCAACATTAGCCTAACATTTTAATAAAAATTCAAATTCATCTTACATGTGAAATTGGACAAGTACATTTTTAAAAAATCAACATTAG